AAGTAATGCAGAAAGTACACGAAGGAGAAGGAGGAAATCACTTCGGAGCTCGGTCTTTGGCGTTCAAGATAAAAAAGCTGGTTATTACTGGTCTACTATGCTTTTCGACTGCGAAAAGTATACAACACGCTGCGAGAAGTGCCAACGTCATGGCCCAATGATCAACCTTCCTACCGAGCTCTTGTTGACTTCGACCGCGCCATATCCTTTCATGCGTTGGGCAATGGACATCATCAGTCCATTTCGCCGATCTACAACTCAGAAGCAATACATTTTGGTCGTGACCGACTACTTCACCAAATGGGTCGAGGGCGAGGCATACCCTGAGATACACGGAATCGACGTCAAAAAGTTCGTCTGGAAATTTATCATCTGTCGACACGGAGTCCCATATGAGATCGTCACAGATAATGGAACCCAGTTCACTTCAATAATTTTCACAGATTTTTGTGCCAAGTGGAAAATCTGACTAAGTTTCTCTACGCCGCGATACCCACAAGGAAATGGGCAAGCTGAAGCCACGAACAAAACCATTATCGATGGTCTGAAGAAGCGACTGGATACAGCTAAGGGAACTTGGGCGGACGAACTCGATGGCGTCTTATGGTCTCACCGAACTACACCACGACGTTCCACCGGTCAATGACCTTTCTTCCTCGCATATGGTACGGAAGCTATGTGTCCAGCCGAACTCAACGTTCCAAGTATTCGCCGAACCATGCTCACTCAGCAACCCGATGCGAATAACGACATGATGCTCCACACAATCGACTTAGTCGAAGAACATCGCGAACGAGCATTACTCCGGATACAAAACTACCAACAACTGGCAGCTCGTTACTACAACAAGAAGGTTAAAGGCCGTCACTTCGAAGATGGCGATCTCGTACTTCGCAAAGTTTATCAAAACACAGCAGAAAAGAACGCAGGAAAACTCGGCGCGAACTGGGAAGGACCATACCAAGTAATGAAGGTTGTTAAACCCGGCGTTTATCAACTCATGAAGCTAGACGGAACCCCGATCCCGCGATATTGGAACTCAATGCATCTCAAACGATACTACTACTAGTTCGTTACGAAACCAAAAAAAAAAAAAAAAACCTCCGAACTACTTAGTCCGAAGTAAAAAAAAAAAACCTTTTTGTACTTAGAACTACGAATGGCTTGATCTCTTTAAAGGGTACGTAGGCAGCTCGTTACCGAGTCCAGCTATAACATCAATAAAGTTTTATTAAGTTAAAAACATCTAAGTTTTAGTTCGGCAATCACGAGATACCGAACTCCTTGTTTTTACATCGACTTCCTGGCCAGTTGTTCGATAGCATTCCACATGAATGCAAACTTAAAAAAGCCGAGATCCGTCTCGCGAACACCCACATGGTGCCGTGGTAAAAACCACATATTAAAATCGGGGCCAGTCCCGCATTTAAATTTTTAAGTCACCAAGGACAATAAGCCGAGCTCATCTCGCATACTTAGGTTCGACTTAGAAAACGTTGAACTCGTTTCGTGCGTTTACAGGAGTTCGAATAAACTCACTCCTCCAGTACGACACGATTCACTTGGGTTCCCCAGGCCGAGCTTAAATGCTCGCACAATAAGCCGAACTCCTCAGATTCGCATTATAAGCCAAGTTCTCAACACTTGCACATATAAGCCGAGTTAACGCAATTCGCTACCGAATAATTCAATTGAATTCAAGCTAAATACCGATCTACTACTTGAAAGATTTTACGAAATACTCAAGATAGAACAAAAAGCATATAATTAAAGCCCTCCGAGAGGCAAAGGAGTTCGAAAATAAAGAAACCCACCGAGGGTTTAGAGATAAACAAAATATTACATAAGCATATAAAGTTACCCATTAAAGGGCATGCAAGTTCGATTTAAAGAAAAAAACAAAAGGCTAAGCGATCTTCGGCATTAAGTATATCGTCGTTTGAACCGAACTGGTCGCCTCTCGCTGGATCCTGAGCACTCTGAGTCACGTTCACGACCGGCGCATCGTCCTCTTCCGGGAACGGGGACATCCGCTTATCTTCTTCTGAGAGGACGCAAGCGTCGATCGAACGGAAATCTTCCAAAGCCTTAGCGTGCTTCGCCTCGATATCAGCTACCATCTCAGGTGGGACTTCGTACAAACCCTTCTTCTTCAGTTGTTTGATGAAGCCGAGAACTCCAATGAGCTGGTTGATCACCAAGTAAGGCTTACGAGCCCGATCTGCGTCATCCAGACTGCGGATAACATTTTCCAAGCGTTCGCAAGCCTTCGCGTGAACGCTCCTAGCTCTACCTTTCCAATGGGCCACCAAACCTTGTAGCCACTCCTTATCTTTCTCGAACTCCCGAGAAAGCAAGCCTTGCGCCTCGGTCAGCTCGGCTCCTACCGCTTTCAGCTCCGAACTCTCCTGCTTCAGCAAGTCAACAGCAGTGTGGAGAGAGTCGTTGATCTGGAGCTCGGTGGCGAGACGTTCTTCCGCCTTAGAGATCCTCTCTTCTAGCTCGGCGATTCTAACTTGTTTGTCGTACAACGCAACTTCATACACTGCGACCAAGTTGTTGGTCTGACTAGCGAGCTGCACAAAAGAAAGTGTGAATTAGAACTCATACTTAGGAAAGTAGTAAAATAAAGAAATGGAATCAGGAAAGTACCACGGCAGTTGTACGAGCAATCCCCTTGTACAGGTTTGGAAACCGGAGTTCGGAGACATCCGGGAGACTTGGAACCTCTGTTGAAATCTTTTGGTAGAGGTCGGCGCAAGCGTCGACGTTCTCCTCGAAGGGGGTTTTCTCGTCATAGTCAAAGCAGAATTTCGCCCTCTTTGCCGGTTCTGGCTCCGGAGAATTCTCGGCATGACCTCTTTCTTGCCTTTTCCGAGAGTGAGAAGCTTCAGCTCGATCCTGAGGGAGTGCGAGGACCGACGTCACAGCCGTCGATGGATTGAACTCAGTGGCAGCATCCTGCGCCCGAGAAGAGTCTTCAACCCTCTTAATCTTCTTTGAAGATTTCTTCTTCTTCAGTTTCTTCTGACCAGCTTGGTCAGGTGAGTTCGCAGCAGGCGGTAGCTCTTCAGGCTGCTCGTTAATCCCTTCAGTGGCAGGGATAGGAGTCGGATCTGCAACATTCGGTTCTTCCTCGTCGAACAAAGTGGGGATCTCGTCAAGCGAAAGCATTCTTGCAGTCCGAGTTTGCTTAGCTTGCGGTTTGGGCACTTTGCGTCTTGGAGCGGCTCAAGGCTTGTTTGCTCGACTCTTTGGCTTCGGGGGCTTCGGTTCCTTAACAGAAGCTGTAAAACATATAAGGAAGAGTTCGGAAAAAACTAAAAATAAGAAAATATAAGTGAACTCAATAATCAAACCTGCTTTCTTAGCTCGGCGCTGAAGAATTTCTTCCCAAACTTCGGGCCAACGGCGTTTGCCGGCTTCACTAAAAGCTGTTTCGAATTCGAAAGTGAGTCCGGAGTTGAGAAGAATGCTTGGGAGATGACGACCTGCAATGATGAACCGAAAAAGAGTTAGAGAGATACGAAAACAAAAATCAACGAAGTATAAGATCGTCTAGATCTAACGATCGGAATCTTCCACTCCGATTGAGTCGGGATGTCAGAATTGCTGACTGTGAGATCGTTCATCTCGAGGAAGAAGTACTGGGATTCCCAGTCATTATATTTACTGGGTTTAACCCCAGTGACGATGTTCTTTCTCGGCTTGGCGTTCGCCGCGAAAAACCACTCCTTGGACTTGTGGATGTTGACTGAGAAGAGGTCTTCGAAGAGCCGACTAGTCGGAATCTCATCGAGCTCAGTACACAGCGTAACGAAGCCAACGTAGTTCGTTATCGATGCCGGAATCATCTGAGTAAGAGCTACGCCACGCCGATTGCAGTATCCGAGTAGACGCGAGGGAATTGGAAGAGAGAGCCCGCATTGCGTGAAGTATGTCAAATAGATGCAAAGGAAGCCTTCGGGGACGTCCCATGGCCGATCTCCAGCCTCAGGAATTTTGAAGATGACCCTATCTGAGAGCCCGTTTTCTTCGAGTACAGCTCGAACTGCACCCGGAGATCGTCTAGATCTACCGATCGAAAACTTGAAGATTGATCAGAAAATTCAAGAGATTGCGGCGGAGAAACTAGAAGAAACTAGAGAGAACTGCGAATAAAATCCTAGAGAGAGAAACAAAATCTAGAGAGAAGGGAGAGCAGCGTACCTTATATATGCTTGAGCGAGAATAATGAATGCGTTGGGGATTTATTCCTTTATAAAAATTGGGAATCGTGGTTCCTTGATTTTTGTGAAATCCCGGAATTCACGCGCCTCATCGAAGACAGGTTGCGAAATGTGCGGGAAAGTGAATCGATTGCAGTTACCGAGCTCGGTTCGTGACCTATTTTTAAGTTTGTATCAAATGAGTTCGACTAAAAGCCGTACCCTTTCATCGAACTGAGGGGGAGGGGCTAACTGTTGGAGGTGAAAACCGCACCCCTGGTTTTCTCCGGTACAAAGCAAGATCAGCACGATGTAAACCCGGTTTACGAAGGAAATGTACCGGGAATATTGGGCCGAGTGAGTTCTCGGGCCGAACGCAGCCCATTAAGCCAAAGTCGGTCAGAAACTTCTCAAAGGAACTGAAAAGTTCTCTGAGTTCGGAGGAAAATGGAAAGTTTCCGAATAGAAAAAGGAAATCGACGAGAAGAAAGGAAATCGTCATGAGAAAAGGAAAATGACCGAGAGAAAAGGAAAGTCTTCTCGGTCCCATATCGCGGAAGATGTGCGCAAGGACTGACTTGGAAGACATATATAAAGGAAGAGGAATCGACATCAGAAGACACAAGAAATTCCAGAGAAGATTTAGATACTGAGAACTCAATATTTTCTTTGTTTCATAAAGTCTTAGTTCGTTATTAACCGAACTCAGTTGTATTCTTTGATCGATCTAATAAAACCCGAGTTTACCGATCTAAATTACTGTTTTGCCCCTTGTCGATATTCACTTATCAACAGACATAGCAAAGAAGGAATCAACGAATTCTTGGCTTCGGATGATGGAAGACCACATCTTCGACACGCATCAGAAATTCCAAAGAGACTTGGCTGGCATTCTAGTCAGTATAGCCATCTTAAGATCAGAATGGAGCGAATCTAACTTACTAAGGCTGCTACAGAAACCGTTGCTCTCATTGTCCTCGTTATGATCTCGTTCCTTGCGTTTCATGGCGAAACCCTAAATTGAAAATAGATTGAGGGAAATCAGAGAGAAATCACCAAGACCTAAATTTTTATCCCTCATTTGTAGATGAGAACAGGAACAAATCGATGAATCTTTGACTTGTTGGATACGTAGATCAGTAGGTATGAGTGACTTGTGATGGACGAAGGAGTTTCTTTTGCAATTCGAAATTGAATGTACATTACTACATATATGCTTTCACATATATATATATATATATGTATATGTATATATATATATATATATCAATGTTTCCAAATTGATTTTGATCTTTCCTTTTTTTTAAAACTATTTCTGCTTTTGGGGTTTAACTTTTTGAACGAAATCGTTGCTTCTGTTCTTAAGGGTTTATCAGTCACTGAAACTACTTGTCTGAGAACATTTTCTAGGAGTAGAGTTAGAAACTGTAAAATAGAGAAGATCAATGTATGAGAAACCAACTTGATAGAGAAGACAATAGCACCTGAGATACCATTCCATCAAGAACAGCTTAATCAAATAATGGATCCCTAAGGGCAAAATCAAGATTATTTTACTTCTAAAGCGTCTCTTTCAAGTGCATCAATCAGATCATATATCTACATATTCAAAGACTTTCTGCGAATCAACACGAAAATGAATCTACACTTTGAGAAATCTCAATTCACCAAGAACAGCCTAAACAAAAGCAAACTAATTTTCTTTAAGGGCAATCAAAGAATATTCTTACTTCTTCAGTCCCGATTTGTCGCTTAAAATTCTGCAATTCCTCAGACATTCTTCCTAACTCATCTTCCAATTCAAGAACCCTAGCTTCTGCTTCTCTAGCCCTCTCATCCGATTCATTCCCGAATTGTTGAAGTTTGAATTGGTCGGTGTCCTTAGTTGAATAAGTCATTGGCTGTTTTCTGCAGTCAATACGTGTCCGAGTCTTTAGGAGACTACGTAGTTGAGTCATGGAGTTGAGCTAGTGTGTAGTGGAAGTCTGTTTCCTAGTTTTTAGGTTGTTTCTGTTGTTTCCTTTGATTCCTGTAAGGCTATTTAAAGCCATCGTTGCTGGGTTAATGAAGTATCACTTTCAGTTTACATTTCACATTTGGTATCAGAGCCATTTAAAAAAAAAAAAAAAAGGGGAGAGAGAAAAGAAAACAAAATCCTGTGTGAGAAAGTGATCGAGAGAGAAAACGAAGAAAAGAGAGAGAAAGGAAAAGAGAAATGTCTGAGAAATCAGAAAAATTTGTGCAGCCAGCCATACCAAAATTTGATGGCTATTACGATTTCTGGTCCATGACGATGGAGAATTTTCTCAGAAGCAGAGAATTATGGAGCCTAGTGGAGGACGGAATTCCGACGGCGGCTGTCGGAACAACACCAGCGAGTGAGACGCAGAGGAAGTCGGTAGAAGAGGCGAAGCTTAAGGATTTGAAGGTCAAGAATTTCTTGTTCCAGTCCATTGATAGAGAGATTCTGGAAACTATTCTTGACAAAAGCACCTCTAAGGCGATTTGGGAATCCATGAGAAAGAAATATCAAGGTTCTACAAAGGTGAAAAGGGCACAGTTACAAGCATTGAGAAGAGAGTTTGAATTGCTGGCCATGAAAGAGGGAGAGAAGATTGATATCTTCCTGGGAAGAACCTTGGCGGTGGTAAACAAGATGAAGGTGAATGGTGAATCGATGGAGCAGAGCACGATTGTGAGTAAAATTCTCAGATCCCTCACTCCGAGATTTAACTATGTTGTGTGTTCGATTGAGGAATCGAACGATCTAAGCACATTGAGCATCGATGAATTGCACGGGAGCTTACTTGTCCATGAGCAGCGTATGAATGGACACATACAAGAAGAGCAAGCGCTAAAAGTGTCTCAAGATGAGAGACCAAGTAAAGGAAGGGGTCGCAGATCGTTTCGAGGAGGCCGAGGCAGAGGAAGAGGAAGAAGTGCTGTTGATCGTGCAATTGTAGAGTGCTACAAATGTCACAAATTAGGGCACTTTCAGTATGAGTGTCCCGAATGGGAGAAGAAAGCAAACTACGCTGAATTAGAAGAGGAAGAAGAATTGCTCTTGATGGCTTACGTGGAACAACATCAAGCGAATAGAGATGAAGTTTGGTTTTTGGATTCAGGATGCAGCAATCACATGACCGGGAGTAAAGATTGGTTCTCCAACCTGGAAGAAGGAATCAATCGAACGGTGAAGCTCGGAAACAACACAAGGATGTCGGTGGTGGGAATAGGCAGTGTAAAAGTTCAAGTTAATGGCATCACTCAAGTTATACCTGACGTTTATTACGTTCCGGAGCTTAAGAACAATTTGTTGAGCCTTGGTCAACTGCAAGAAAGAGGCTTAGCAATCTTGATTCGAGACCGAACCTGCAAGGTGTTTCATCCAAGCAAAGGTGCAATAATGAACACCAACATGAGTGGAAACAGAATGTTCTTTCTTCTCGCCACCAAACCGCAGAAGAATTCGTTGTGTTTGCAAACAGAAGAAGTTTTTGAGAAGGAGATGAATCTGTGGCACTGTCGTTTTGGGCATCTAAATCAAGAAGGGCTGAAATTACTATCACAAAAGAAAAGGGTTATTGGGCTACCAACTCTGAAGCCCACGAAGGAGATATGTGCTGTGTGTTTGACCGGGAAGCAACATAGGGTATCAATGTCGAAGAAGAGTTCTTGGCGTGCATCGAGACAGCTTCAGTTGATCCACTCAGATATATGTGGACCAATCACGCCAATGTCACACAGCAACAAGAGGTATATACTGACGTTCATTGATGATTTCACTCGTAAAACATGGGTATACTTTCTCCATGAGAAATCAGAGGCGTTCACCATCTTCAAGTTTTTTAAAGCAAGTGTGGAGAAGGAGATTGGAACGGCGATCACTAGCTTAAGGACAGATCGAGGAGGAGAGTTTACCTCTAATGATTTTGGAGAGTTTTGTAAAACTCATGGCATCACTCGGCAATTGACAGCAGCATTCACGCCACAACAGAACGGAGTCGCAGAGAGGAAGAATCGAACGATAATGAATGCTGTTCGTTCTATGCTAAGTGAGAGGAAAGTTCCAAAAACTTTCTGGTCTGAAGCCACCAGATGGAGTGTGCACATTCAGAATCGATCCCCTACAGCAGCAGTTGAAGATATGACACCTGAAGAAGCTTGGAGTGGTAAGAAACCTGTTGTGGAATACTTTCGCGTCTTTGGGTGCATAGGGTATGTACATATACCCGATCAGAAAAGAAGAAAACTAGACGACAAGAGCAAGAAATGTGTTTTCCTTGGAGTCAGTGAAGAATCAAAAGCATGGAGGCTGTATGATCCGGTTACGAAGACGATCGTAATAAGCAAAGATGTTGTCTTTGACGAAAGCAAAAGCTGGGATTGGGATCAAGCTGGTGTGGAAGGAAAAATTCTGGAATGTGGAGACGAAGATAATAATATCGCAGAAGAGGGAGGAGATGACACGACAAATGTGAAAAGTCCCATCGTGTCGAGTGGTGAGTCTTCTGCGTCGGGTGGTAATTCATCTCCACCAAGTCCAGTTTTGTCTACTCCAAACTCAATCAACAATTCACCAAGAGCTGGTGAAATAGAAGCATATGCAGGGCCACGCGCACGGAAAAGACCAGGATACTTGGCTGATTTTGTTGTAGGAGACGGAGAAGATGAAAACTTGTCTGTCATGCTACTGATGATGATGACAGAAGGTGACCCAGTTCGGTTCGATGAAGCAGTGAAAGACAGTGTTTGGAGAGAAGCAATGGAACGTGAGATCGAGTCAATTGTGAAGAACAACACTTGGGAGCTAACCACTTTACCCAAAGGCGTCACACCAATTGGAGTGAAATGGATATATAAAACTAAGCTGAATGAGGATGGTGAAGTTGATAAGCACAAAGCGAGGTTGGTCGCAAAAGGTTACGCTCAATGTTACGGCATAGACTACACCGAAGTCTTTGCTCCAGTCGCGAGACTCGACACAATTCGAGCCATACTTGCTGTCGCTGCACAATTGAATTGGGAGATCTTTCAATTGGATGTTAAAAGTGCGTTTTTACATGGAGAATTGAAGGAGGATGTGTACGTGAGCCAGCCCGAGGGATTCATAAAGAAAGGAGAAGAGGAAAAGGTATACAAGCTGAGAAAGGCGCTGTACGGACTCAAGCAGGCTCCGCGAGCTTGGTACAGCAAAATCGAAGGATATTTTCTGAAGGAGGAGTTTGAGAGATGTTCTAGCGAACATACTTTGTTTACTAAGACAAAAGGAGGTAACATTCTCATTGTCAGCTTATATGTTGATGATTTGATATTTACCGGGAATAATAAGGCTATGTGTGATGAGTTTAAGAGGTCGATGATGCTGGAATTTGAGATGTCCGATTTAGGAAAAATGAAGCATTTTCTTGGAGTTGAGGTGAAGCAGAGTGAGGCAGGAATTTTCATTTGCCAAAGACGATATGCTCGTGAGGTATTAGAGAAATTTGGGATGGAGGAAAGCAACGCAGTAAGAA